AAGAGTATCAAAATTCAAATGAAATGTTATACGAAGCCGTCGTGAATGCATTGTGCTCCATGGATTTGTGGGGGGAATTCATGCTGCTGCTTCTGTGTATTTACTTCTTCCCATTGCAAAACAAGTGGAGTTGCACTGATATGTGTTGGTGTAACTCCACCATAATGGCTATACCTGGACTGTATTTGACCTAAAAATGCTTAATCATATTTTTAAAAATTACTGGTATATTCCTGTGTAAAATTCTTAGTACAAACCTCAGCCCATCTTCATGTGACTGCACACAGCTCTGATCCATTCATGCAGTTTGCCCTCTGAGTTATTCTCCTCAGCAACATACAATTTGGGCAATTATTTAGAGGAGTTCCTCTGTGCAATTTCATGCCTGACTGACGTGCCCTGCAGTAATCCTTATGTTTCTTTGATGATGGAGGCTGTACAGAGAGCAGCCCTGTGGCAAAATCCTAGTTCACACTGAGTTTCACCGTTGGCTTCTGTGGGTCTAAAGTTTCACCCTAAGTGTGTTGAATCTATGAACTACTACAAGGGACTGAGAACTGAGATAAGTTTAATTGCCTAGGGTGTTAAGCTCAGTTGTGGTTTATTTTAAGCGTGCAGGGGAAGCGCTTCTTGAAGAGTGATTTGAAGAGACAGAATAAAAATGAGTGCACCCTTGGGAATGGCTGAGGACAGCCTTCTTGTGAGGCTCTCATCCAGTTCCAGAATTAAAAGGTTGTTATCTAATGAGCACAACCAATTTCTTAGCTAATGAGCACAAGAAATGTGTTTCATCTGCAATGCCCGCTAGAAAGACATGGTTTTGAGCTTGAGGCTGCCCTTGCTTTAAGACCCAGGTCACCGCTGTGAGATTAATCCAGGGCATAAATCACAGGGGTTAGATTAGTGTTTGTTTTACTTGAATTCACATTTCTTGCTCTCTTATCTCCTCTAAATCTTGGAGCTTCTTAGCTCAGTCATGAACCAGAGAATGGAATGGGTTTAAACAGCCGCAACTTCCCTCCAGAGCACTGGCTGTCAGCCCTCAGGCTTGATTTACCACTGGAACGCAATTATAAAATGGCACGATGCAATTAATGTGTCTTCCCTCCCCTTTCATGCCAGACAGGAATTCCTCCTCCACTTTCTTCAGTTGGAGTGATTTTTATAATATAATATAATCCAATGCAACTTTATTTTGCATGAGCCAGGGGCCTACCAGGGGGCAATGACAAAACCAGCTGATTATATATCCCGGTTAGGGATAATGCAGCGTGTCTACTACTGTTTCTGTGCAAGTTCAGATTGTTTGCAGGCCTCATTTTGTTTGGTTTTGTGGTTCTGTTTTCCCACCTTTACAGCTGACAGTGACAGCCAGAAAAACAAGGTAAACATTGAATTTCCCAAATTTTTCCAGCCATTAAGCAAAAGCCGTGCAAGTTCAGGACATTCCCTCACTACCAAGTAAACTCACAGCTTTTCTCATGTCAGTCTAGCTGATCATCTGCCAATACCTCAGAAGTGACATCTGCCATCTGCCAGAGCTCTGGTACTGCCTAGGAGTATGATTTTTGAGAGTAAGACCAGAAAGCCAAGGTCTTGTCTTGTAAGGGCCCCCATAAACACCACGTGCACTGGACCCGCAGTGGATCATCTTGTCACGCACGTTCTGCAGAGCTGCTGTTGTGCAGAGTGTTTAAGAAGAGGCTGGTGTATAGCACGTACTGATGAAAGTAGTAGGGAAGATTTCTGTGTATGCAAACATAGGTAAAAATTGTACAAGCAAGTTTTTAAGTTAACGTTAGGGCTGGTGTAACATCTTTGCTCTTTATTTTTAATCAAGAACATGGCACAGTCAACCATTGCTAATTTTCTTTGCATTTTCCCTGATGTATTTCACTGAGCATTGAACATATTTTTTTTATTTTACTCTTTATGGGTATATTTCATTATGCCTAAGAATTCACTCAGTCTGCAGGAAATGAGAAATTGTAATCATTTTTATATTTTCAGGAAAATCATTGCCCTTCAGGCGGAGGGACGTTACAATTGTGAAAAGGAGATATTGATTTCTCTCCCCCTGTGAAATAACTTCTCAGAGTCATGGCTATTATTAAATTAAGTTGAAACTGTAGATAAACACTAAAACCACCTAGTAAAAAGGTATATTCAGCCTCAAGAACACTTCCCTTTTTCTATGGTCTCACAGTGTCATAGATGACTTTTGCTCCTTAATTTAGGTACAAACATTTCCCTAGGGCTCTGTGTTGCTTTGCATGCTCCAGAAAGCAAACTGAGGAGGTTTTACTTATGTGGAATATACTCGGAGTAAGGAAGAGCTGCCGGAGTTAGGGCAGAGCAAGACAAGGTGACAATATGTGAAGGCTGCCCACGTTTGTCGTTCTCTGAGGTTGGTAGTTGCCTTCGCCCCAGTGTCAGGCCTAAGGACAGACGAACCTGTGCTGCTTAGGCACTAGGTTTGCAAAGAGGCTTCTTGTTGGCCCAACTCAGTCCCTGCTGAAACGAAGGGTGGTTTTCCCGCTGGTTTTAACAGCACCAATTACGCAGTGCTGAAGGCTTTTCAAAATCCCACCCATCTGCTCTGAATAGGTTTGTTGACCAAAAAAAAAATGTCTGCCGCCTTCGAGGAGAGAAAGCTTCTCTTGTGGGAAAGAAGACATTCGGGGTGCTGGTTCTTTCCCTTTGCTCCATGTTCTTAGCACTGCTTGGCTGTAAACACAGCCGTGTCTGTCCAGTACCTGAAGGGGCTACAAGGAAGCTGGGGGGGACTTTTTACAAGGGCCTGTAGTGACAGGACAAGGGGTAACGGGTTTAAATTGAAAGTGGGGAGGTTTAGATTAGATACCAGGAAGAGCTTCCCGGAGAGGGTGGTGAAGCACTGGCACAGGTTGCCCAGAGAAGCTATGGATGCCCCATCCCTGGAAGTGTTCAAGGCCAGGCTGGATGAGGCTTGGAGCAACCTGGTCTAGTGGAAGGTGTCCCTGCCCATGGCAGGGGGGGTGGAACTAGATGATCTTTAAGGGCCCTTCCAACCCTAACCATTCTGTGATTCTATGATTCTACCAGCAAATCCTTTCACATCCCTAATGATTTGGAGAGGATTTCTTTCCCTGTGTGAAGCACTCAAGAGTTGTTCCAGTTGTTCCTTGCCTTTTGAGATCAAAAGAGGTTATCTGCGTAGAGGCCTCGCTTAAATTCCCTTGCAACTCACTGGATTTTGCATTAAATTAAATTTCACATGCTGAGTGAGCAGTCAACCCTTATGAGCCCAGGGGAAAGAATATGCTGTTGCTATGCATTTAAATGTGACGGTCAAGTTGGGGCTAACGCTCCCAGGCACCTCCTTCAGCGTTCACCTTTCAGCCTTTCCATCCTGAGCCCTGTATTTTGAAACGAGATGCCTGCATTTTATTACCTTTGTGAGTGGAAAACAACAACATGTGTTCTCTGCTCGCTAGAAAAGGCCTGAATTGTCTTGGTTTGAACTTTAAAATAAAGGTCAGATTTGAGGCAGGCACGAATTCTTGCATGTGTCAGCCCAAAAGGTGAAAGCTTTAGGAAGTTATGAGCAACCACAAATGAGACAGTTTCAAACTGCACTTGCAACTTGAACAGCTGTTGTGCCTGTTGTTGGAGGGTGACATTCAGAGGTATAATGCTAAAGATTATATATATATTGTTCAGGGAGAACTCAAAAATATAGAGTAGTCACCCAGGCAGAGAGAGAATTGATTTGGGTGGCGTGTGGTAGAGAAGGAACAGCCTTTATGTTAGTGGCACAGGGATAAGATTGTGGGAAAGCCCAAATATCGAGGTGGGTGTAAGAAAAGGGAACAGGGAGAAGACAGAAGAGACCAGGGGAGTCTAGGGGAATTTCTGAGAAAGGATTTTCCAGCGCCTCCTTGCAAGTGAAAATTAATTGTTTTGGGACTGGAATTCACAGCTCTGTATCTTAGGGACTTAGTGAGGCTGGTGGATTACCTCGCTCTGTGGTCTCAAAATGCTCTGACAGGTTCATGTATGTCAGGCAAACATTATGGTAATTTTAGCACTTTAGGGGCTCTACAGGGGTACATAAATACTACCTAAGCCATCCAGCTGAATTTAAAACTTAATTACTGCCCCACTTAATAATATTCTCTCCCCCACTACTGCTTTAAAGGATCATAGGGTTAGAAGAAATCATTAATCTTGCTTAATGAAGCTATTTTCTAGCAGGAGACAGAATGTCTTGCCCCTGTGGATTCTGAGATGGAGTTTTTATGAGTGTTGTGAATGGGGAAGTGAGGAGCGAGCGCTAGAGGAAAAGCAGTGCAGAGAAGGGGATAGGACCCAAAATGCCAGCGGTGGGAGGACCCTCCGACTCGCAGGCCCTTGCTGAGTTTAGCTAAAGGAATGCCATGGTCATGGTGGAAGAGAAGCGAGCCCTATTAAAAACTGACTAAGTTGGCTGTATGACAGTGTTCCCACTACAACCTCTTATTATTGGAATACCAGCAATTGCCAAAGCTTATATATAACCTACACAAGAGCCCTCTTGAAAGCTGCAGTTGAAATTGTGCATCTCCAGAGAAATCTAAAGCAGAATGGTGGTGGCAGAGTTTGAGACTCTGCTTTTAGCTGTCAAGGCTGATCCATGTCCTCAAAGCTGCTTTTCCTGGGACAGCGCTGCCTTATACTATGATTAAATTGCATGCAAATGTTTCAAAATCTCGGTGACTGTCCCAGTGCATCTCCCTCCTTTTGCATGCATAAAAGGGCAAGAAACCATGCTCCTTAGAACAGGGCAAGGTTTTGCCCTCTCCTAGCCCATGGCTCCTGCGGTGTCCACTGCACTGAGCACCACTGCCTGCCTCATGATGGGGCTGGTTGGAGTGGCAAGGATGGACTTGCCGCTCTCCAGCTTGTTTCTGACGATTCCTTTGCTGGAGATACTGAAGTGCTTTTCTTTCTCTGTTTCTTGTGTGCATCCTTGGCTGTAGAAGATGCTGGATGAGTGCCAGGACAGGCGGAGCTGCCAGTTTCTCATCAATAGCCGGCTGTTTGGTGCAGATCCATGCCCTGGAACCAGCAAGTACCTCATCGTGTGGTACAAGTGCAGGCCAAGTAAGTACCTTGCTATTGAACATGTTTGCTCTGGCAAGACCAAAGCATTTTCATACTTAATACTCACCAGAGAGGGCTCCTAGGACATTTTGTTCCCTTCCACCTTTATTTTTAGTGTAACGTACTCCCTTCCGTAGGGAGCGTTTCCCCTCTCCCCCTTGCTTGCTGGGATGCTGCTGCTCTGGCTCATTCCTCCTTGCTGGCAGCCCGAGTTGCAGATTGTTTTTGCAGGTGCCAGCAAAAGCCTTTGCCAGCGCTGAGCTCACGCTGTCTGCGGTGGGTGGGCTGCTCCCGCTCCCATCTGCAGCCGCCTGCCTGTCCTGGTGGGTTAGTGGGACATGTCCCCTCTCTGCCTGCCCCTCCAGACAGAGCTGGAGCTCTTTGCCTGGGAAAGGACTTCAGCCCTGGGTGCCTAAGGCAGATAGTGGTGCAGCGGGAAGCTCACCTGCCCACGCCATGCCATAAGCCAGCTTTTAATTGCTCCCAGATCAGGCTGGGAAATGTTAGCCTGTGTTCTGCGTGATCTCATTAGCTGTGTTTAAATTAAATGGGGCTGGCGCCTGGATACTGGGAGTGCAATCATGCATGCTGCGGAGGAGCGAGCCTGGTGCAGCTTTGGCCCAGGACAACCAACACACTCTTGGCCAATTCCTGGCCCCACAGGGGGAGTTAGCATGGCCTGGGCACTGCTCTCCATCAGTGCTTTGGAAGTAGATGTATTAGTTTGGAGACAGATAGGGTTTGATGGTGGCCAAACTGTGCCAACCAGTTTCAGCCAGAGAACAGGACCTGACCCTATTTGAATTAATTGTCTAGACATGGCATTTCAGACCAGCCTAATCCCAAGCTTTTTAGATGACATAACTAACATGGTTCCAGCATCACATCAGCAAATTTTTTTGGGGTAGAAATTTTAAAAAGTTTTCACAGGGAAGAAAAAACATTTGTGGTTTCAGAAAAGGTTTGAAACAAACCCAGAAACATTCAGACTCTTCAGCAGCATAGAAGATGACTTTTTGCCCCAGCACGCCGAGACCTGTGCTAATGGAGTAAAGGGATCTGGCAAAATCTGTGAGGAATTCAAATGAAAAGTAGGTAATGAAGCACCTGCATTTGTTGTGGGGTTTTCTCGAGTGATTATAACATCCCTTGTTGGGTGAGAAATGCATCTCTGAGAGAAGGGTGATTACCAGGATGTTCTGACAAGTCCTCCTGAGCCTGCAGGTTTTGTATCAAAGCTCACTTGGAAAATCTGGCTGTGCTGAGCTTTTGAAGGTACTTCAGCATCTCATCTGTGCACAGACATTTATGGCTTGGCATTCTTTGCTAATTACTGATATGCTAGAAAAGGAGCTTGCATGTGTGCTGGCCAGGTGATTTTCCTGAAAGTGAGCTTCAAGAAAACTGCTTGAAAACATTTCCACAAGACATTTTTTAGGCAGCTCCAATTTTGCAAGGTGAAACAGGGTAACCTGACACAAATTATTGTTTCTTTGTCACTGGGCAAATTTTTAATCAGAACCCACTGGATTATTAACGAGGTTTGAAATATGTGAGGATTAGCTTTGCACAGAGATACCAGGTCATGGCCAACATTTCCTTGATTCCTTCAAATTGTTAGTTTTGAGTCTCACAAACAGAATCTAGTGCTTGTATGAGTTCGATAAGCCTTTCCACCTTTCTGTAGGGAGAAGGTTAATGAGGGGACCGAAGAAATATGGATCCACAGAATGCAAAATACAGGACCATGAGAAATTTTGGTGGACTTTTTTGGGTTGTTGAGTATTTGAGTGTTGTTTATGAGTCATAAATGAATATATGTTTACGAGCTGATCTCTAAAGCTGTGCTTCTATGAAGTGTTGACCTGCTTCAGAAAGTCTGAGCACACATAATGGTAACTAAAGAGCAACAGAGAGTCCTTGAGAGCTCACTGCCTCGCACATGGCTGAGTCTGTAATTTTATTGAAAAACAAATGCAGTTTTTTGGAGCTCTTGTTTCTGAATTTGTCCTTCTTAGCAGTAGACGTGACAGAATTACTTCAGTAAGAAGTTATTTAAAGTCTGAATTGTTCTCTAGGGTCTTTTATTTCTTTCCTTTGGTTGTTGAGGGATCCTGATGTGACCATGCTACTGAAGTAGATGCCTTGGTTAAGTGTCTACCTAGGCAGAACAAATTTGAGTTTTCCTGTGTACAGGTGTAAGAGGCGCTTTGGGAAGTGGCCTGCAGGGTTTGGACAGGACATCTTTAACATAAAATAAGGATGCCCAAGCCCTCCTGCTCTCAGAGTCATGCTGGAGCTTCAAAAGGCCCCTGAATAGAGGTAGTTGTCTAAAAAGAAAGACTTCCTTGAAAGAAAGCAAACCTGAAGTTAGTGGCATTTACTTGTATCTTTGCTGAAGAATAACTGGATGGTGCAGTCATCCCCTCCAGCCACTGTCACTGCGGTTATGCCGCTCTGACATTACGTTGCGTTTGAAATCTAGTGGTTTCGATGGTCGCTGGCTGTGTGGGGTTCACTCACAAGGCAAGGTGCTATTTTGGTTTCTTATGGGCAGGATTTCAAGGAGATGGAGGACAGTAAATCATGCTGAAACTGAAAGCCACAGATTTTCCACATGGTAGGGCTTCAGGGAGCAGGGCGATGGGGGGACCTAAACTGCAGTAATCTCTCTGAGCCTCCTTTTGCTGGAAGCATGGGGGACTTGTGCAGAGGTATTGTGGTTCACCCCCTGTAGAAATTAAAAGAAATTGTTCAGAGAATCATAGAATGGTTTCAGTTGGAAGGGACCTTAAAGATCATCCAGTTCCAACCCCCCTGCCATGGGCAGGGACACCTTCCACTAGACCAGGTTGCTCCAAGCCTCCTCCAGCCTGGCCTTGAACACTTCCAGGGATGGGGCATCCACAACATCTCTGGGCAACCTGTTCCAGTGCCTCACCACCCTCTCTGGGAAGAACTACTTCCTGATATCTAATCTAAACCTCCCCACTTTCAATTTAAACCCATTGCCCCTTGTCCTGCCACTACAGGCCCTTGCAAAAAGTCCCCTCCCAGCTTCCTTGTAGGCCCCAAGTGCGTGCCTAACTAGAAGCATGAGAAATTCAGTGGTGTGTGTGTTTTGCAGGAAGACTTGTGCTAATCATGGTCCCCTGTGATCACATGGATGGATCTGGGGTCTAGTGGAAACCCATCTTGTGTGTAGAGGACTCAGATAAGCTCATGGCACTGTGTTTAAATTTCAGATGTTTGGCAGTCCTGAGTATTCTCAGTGCCTGTAAATAAATAAATAAATACACTCTGTCTGTGTGCACTTTTAATTTTAAGGTACAGGATGTTGAAGGAGATCAGAAATAATCAAATGCTCTCTTCTGACTCAGTTTGGCTCAAGTGAGACTTAGATGTGATTTGAGGGCCAGGATCATCCAAGTGCATCGAGGCTTAGCTTTTATTTTCTTTTCCTACAGCATGTGGGCCTTAAGTTTCCAGTAGGCCACAGCCTTTGGGAAGGTGTTCAAAAGCACAGTACAGGTCTCAGCAGAGAACAGCTGTGACTTGTGGTTCTGAACTTGGAGATGCCTCTGCAAATCATCCTGCTACCTGCAGCCTCAGTAGAGGATCCCCAGAGGGTTCCTGCAGGTTGAGGGACATGTTGCCGTAGCACTGAAACCTGAAGTTCTCTCCTAGTGGAGATGTAGGCTGGTATTTAGCACTGGCTGGGGATGGTTTCCAGTGGAAGTCTGGATACAACCACCCTGTTTTAGAGGCTAAAAAAGTTGATGAGAATGGCTGTGGGCTGTCCCATGCCAGTTGTCCTCAGCACCAGAGAACTGGCGTATTTAATTTACCAGGGCCAACGTAGCCTGAGATCTTCACCCAAAGCACATTCAAGCCCTGAACACACAGAGGACTTCAATCTCCAGGGTACCTTTCAGGATCATTAAAAAATTGCACACAAATCCAATTATTTCTCAGGTAACATGCTGATTTGATTTAGACCCATTAAGTATAATTACTGGGTAGGCTGCAGGAACATATAATTAGAGGGAATTGACATACTATTTAATTGGTCTAATATGAATTCCCTCTAACTAAAATCCGGATTCACCAATATTATTCAAACAATTCAGTGTTTGTTCATCCCTCTCACTTCAGAGACAGAGAACCGTGTAAGATCGTGTGTTATTGTACACTTGCTTTGTGTGCCAGACTTTCCAGAGGGGCTGCATGGTCTAATTCTGTCTGGGAACAGGATCTGTGGGGCTGCCCAAGTCATGCTGAAGAAATAACCTCACCTCTCTGCACCCCAGCAATACCATTGCAGCTGATTTTACTGGGCTTGGTCGCTGCTCTGGGCTACTGGACACACAGGGATCGATCTGCCCCTGCACAGCATCTGTCTTCCCACGGTGACATTTTGGTGGTTTGGTTACTTTTTTGGCTTGGCTATTTAAAAAAATGCCACTGCTTCTAAACAAAATGGGCACCTGAGTGCTTGCCTCTCTCTGCAAAGGAATTTGTTAGGGTGAGGTGTGTTGTGTGAGTGCTGTTGAGAGAGGGGTCCTACCCTGCTTATGTGGCTTTTCCCATGAGTCGCCCACACAGTACCTTTCTCTTGTCCCCCCCTCTGCCATTGCCACACTGTCCTGGACGCAATGTCCCTGTTTCAGCTCTGAATAGCCTAAGCTGCAGTCTCCTGTAATGCTATAGTGATATTTTCTTTCTTTCCTTTTGGGCAGTTGCTACTTTAGCTTATGACTTCAAGGACTTTGGGAGAGAGAATATCCATCCAGTGTTTTTTTTAAAATTATTATTATTTTTATTTAATTTTAAAATGCTGTGTGGCACAGCTGGATGTGATGATTGGTGGCTGTGGAGCCTCCCTGTATTCATTATCCCAGCGATGTAACAAAGTGTAAATCCAAACTTTGCTGCTCTCCCTTCTATTCACAAACATAAGCCTAAAGCCTGTGAAGTTGCAGAAAGCCTGGATTGTGACC